AATCGCCTAATAACGCTAGAAACCGCAACCACCCACTTCCGCAAACTCCCGCAACCGCAATCGCAACCGCCGCGTTTCAACCAGTCAGACCCTCAGTTTATTTCGATTCGTTTAGTTACTTTTGCTTGCCGAACCAAACCAAAAACCGATAAAGTTTTATCCGGTTCATAGCTTCAACCGGAAACAAAACCGACAATTTTGGTTTGATTGGTTTGGTTTGCTTCTGTTTGAGGCGAATGGCCAGCACTAATATTATTAACTTTCATATATGTATCTGGATTTTGGTTTCGAGTATATCCATGGATAAGGGTTTATAAATACAAAAGGCCCATATTTTAAAAATGGGCCCGCTCGATTCAACTTTTATCGGATCCAAGTCGGGTTAAATTAGGGTTCCGAATTAAAACAGAGAAGTGGAAGTAGGGTTTACGTTTTGTGAAGAAAAAGCGAAAGAAGCTTAAGGAGCCAAAGCCGTTAAACTTTGGTTGCTCTCTTCTTTTCACTTCATCCATCAGAAACTCTAGAAGACATGCCTAAATCAAGGAGAGACAGACCAGGTCAGAACTCTTTCTTCCTTCACTCTTACATAGTTCTGAAACTATTGCATCTTTAGTTAAATGAGCTGGAAAAGCTCCGCCGTCAAGGGTTTAGGGTTTATAAAGATGTTTTAGAGTAACCCTTTTGAATAAAGTTTAAATCTTTGCCCATATGTTACAGATCATTTGATGAATTCTTTGTTGTGTATTGCTTGTAGTTACTTTGTCAAAGACAAAGAAGAAAGGAAGAGAGCACAAGGAGATTATTGTCAAGGGAATCAGAGAGGCTGTTGAGAAGTATTCCTCTGTCTATGTTTTCTCGTTTGAGAACATGAGAAACATCAAGTTCAAGGAGTTCAGGCAGCAGTTTAGGCAGAACGGAAGGTTCAGTTTCTTTGGTTAAGACATAAGAAGAGATGGTTTTGTCTTTTTAGTCTTGGATTTATTGTTTTTTTTAATTGGTTTTAGGTTCTTCCTCGGTTCAAACAAAGTGATGCAGGTTGCTTTAGGTCGTTCTGCTTCTGATGAACACCGTCCTGGTATCTTCAAAGCCTCTAAGGTTGTTGTGTACAAATGGTTGTTTTTTCATATTTACTTGACTTTTTTGGTTATTGTACTTATGTTTGTGGAATGGTGTTTCAGCTGCTTCATGGTGATGCTGGACTTCTTGTTACTGATATGCCAAAGGAAGATGTCGAAAGGTAGCTTTTCTCTAGAATCCCTAATTGTATCCATGTCTCTTTTGTTGCAACTGTTCACTAAGCTTCACATTTTCAGGCTATTTAACGCTTATGAGGATTCAGATTTTTCAAGAACGGGAAGCACTGCAGTAGAAACGGTTTGTGATTGATTAGTACTTTAGTATGTACAGTCTTTACATCTCTTGCTAATATTGAACAACTCTGTTTTGGTGCCATTGGATTGATCAGGTTGAGCTGAAGGAAGGACCTCTAGAACAGTTCACACATGAGATGGAACCGTTTTTGAGGAAGCAGGGTATGCCTGTAAGACTTAACAAAGGTTTGTTGTCTCACCATTTCAGCTTCCATCTCTCACTCAATACACAACTAGTTTGAATGTAGTCTTGACGCCGATTCATTATGTAGGTACGGTAGAGTTACTCTCCGACTTTGTAGTTTGTGAAGAAGGCAAACCTCTTTCACCAGAATCTTCCCGCATTTTGGTAAATAAGAATCTCTATTCCAAAAGCCTTTCTGAATGTTAGGAGACTTTGCTCACTCTTCTTTACATAATACTTGTTGCAGCGTTTGTTGGGAATCAAGTTGGCTACTTTCAAACTCAACTTAGTCTGCAGATGGAGCCCTGATGACTTTGAGCTTTACAGAGAAGGCTTGGATCTCTCGGACGTTGAAACCTCTTGAAGAAGCCAAGATTTTGATGATCAACTCTTTTAAAGTTTCTGAGTTATCGTATTATTATTCACCTGGGGTTATGCTTGTTCTATTTGGTTCGTGGTTTGCACTTGGATGTTTTATGTCAAAGTTTTGTTGCTTTAATGTTTGTAGTATATCAGATTATCTTCATGACTTCACCGTTCTGTTATTCCTGACCGAAATACAATATCAAGCTTCTTCATGTTTTAAAGTTATTCTCCTGTTATTTATCGAATCTTCAAAAACATATCAAGGTTTACCATTTTTCCAAAGTTATATTGGTGTATGCTATCTTGGTTTACATTCTCATGCTAGTATTCATTTGTTAGACCATCTTTAGTTAGTTACTTCAACTGTAATGGTCAAGTACTTTCTTCACTTTCCGTAGATTGCTGTATCAAATATTTGGGCCTTGTATTTTGATTTACCGACATGCCTGTCCAACAACAAAATGTAGATAATTTATGTTCTTTAATTTCAAGTTTCATATATTTATCCTTGATTAATTAATTTTAGTTATTTTTTGTTTGCTTTCCAATAAAATTCTGGCATTCATATTCTTAGATTATATATATATATATTTGATAATTAATTTTAGTTATTTTTTGTTTGCTTTCCAATAAAATTCTGGCATTCATATTATTAGATTTTAATTTATGTTTTAGTTTTAAAATAAATTTCATTAATTAAAGTTAGAACATCAATCATCTTTTTATATATGAAAAAGAACAAAAAACATTAGCTATTTGTATACCAAGAGAGAGTGATAGACAATAATACAAACGTTAAAAGATTGCAAATTTGTGGAGACGAAGTGACCTGAGATATTGAGTGTGTGTGTGTGGGGGCATTAAAGGAGGTGTAAGAAAAGTGAAAAAGTGAGAGCAGAAATGAAATCATGAAAGTGAGGGAAGAGTCAGGTGAGAAAGACAGAAGCCTGACTGACTCATAACCACCATTTTCAATCTCTCTGGGCACTGAAATCCATGTCGTTTCTTTTCTTCTAAAAGGCAAACGACAATCACTTCTGCTCTGAAACACTGCATTTACTCTCTTCTATTTCTCTCTCTCAACATCATTGCACATCTTTCCTTTTCTATCGTTGATTTTGGCTTTTTCATGATGGAGGAGCATCTTTTAATGTGTTCTTCCCATTTTGTAGTACATGGTTTCCAAATTCCAATAGTTTTTTTTTCTAATATACCATTGTATTAGTTTGTTTAGCCAAATGAGACGTCGTTTGTTCTAATCATTTTTTTAGAAAGTTGAGTAAAAAAAAAGATATAAAAGCTCACGATTTTGAACAGGTGATGATAATATAATGCCCTTTTCAAGCGCCATAATTAAGCTGTTTTCTAGATAATATGTTTGTTTATCATATACATTGTTTCATTTATGCTAAAAATGGCGTTCATTTTTAATATCTGAAAGGACTGGTTATACGTACTAAGATATTTGTTTTAAGTTACAAGATTAGCTAGCTGTCCAAGAATTTGTGAGATGAGATCTGTGGACGAATGTTAAAAGGGATTTATGAGTGCTAAGTTCAGTTTACCTATACAAAACTAAGTCACAATGATCTGAATATACACATGTTTTTTGGGATTTTCTAAATAGATTTGTCTCTTTTAGGGTAAAACACAGTAAATTTTTTGCTGATTAGAAAATTTAGAACGTAGCATTTTTTTTTCCAAATGACATCTTATAAGATTCCCTCTATGTGAGTGAAAAAAAATCTTTTGTTTGGTCAGATCGAGACTCAGCTACAACTACGAGAATGCAAAGATGGAAAAGATAAAGAGGCAACTAGTGATCATATTCTATTAGGTGGACATCAATCATTTCCACCAGATAAATGAACAAAATTTTGAACTCCTAACAAAACTTTCCATCGAGTTTAATGCAAATTACTACTGCTTCCCTCCTCAATCAATGCTCCATTCATTATTTTTGTTTTCTCTAGAATGGTCCTAGAATATATATATATATATATATATATATATATATACAGTAACATCTTCTAAAAACTTATTATTACGATAATTCAATAAACAAAAGTTGCAAGTTACACCAACCAATCAACAAACCCTTATTAGAGGAAAATTATTAATATCAACAGTGAAAATTCAAATAAATATGAAACCAGGGAAAAAATAATCATAACAATAAATTAACTTGTAATAACCGGAAGAAATTTAACCAAAATTCCAAACAATTCTCGGAATCTACAGTTGTTTTTTTGCAGTGGCACAAATGATGATGCATAGAGTAAAAGTGATCCACAAAATAGTAACCACTAATACCATCATTTCATTTAGAAATTATTATTATTATTGTATTTTATAAAGAAGTAATGAATCACTCGCATCCCCCTTCCGTTGCCGCCGAGGAACCATAACACGTAACAAGAGACGACGTACTCTCATCAGCCATAACGGGGAGGTGGAACATGTCCTTGCAAGAATGGCAAGTGATCTCCAACATTGTTGCATTAACCCTCTTCATTGCTTCTTCTCTAACAACCTGAGCCTTCTCCAGCTCGGCCTTCGCTTCGTTCCTTATATTCTTAGCCTTCTCAAAATCCACTTCTGCCATCTCTACTTGCCTCCTCGCTTCTTGTCTCATTTCATCCGCCCTCCTCGCTTCCTCGATTGCTCTCTCCATTGTTAAACTCGTTTCGTTTCTTTTCACTTTTGTTTTTGTCATTCCTATGGATAGTTGAAGCTGGAGGTTTTCAAAAGGAGCTGATGGAGGGAAAGCTGGAAAATGTTGATGGGACGCTTGGGGTGGCCTTAAGAAAGGAACTCCATGCAATAAAGGGCTAATGCTTGGGGTTAAAAAGGTTCTTGATGGAGTTGCTTGGCCCTCTGTGTTCTGCTGTAGAGGACGGTGATTGGTGGGTTGAGGTCTCCGGATAGTGCAAGTATCTTGGTGCTCTATGAAACTCTCAACCCTGGAAAAAAACAGGAGGAATAATCAGGAATGATATGGTTATTATTTGCACACATATTTGTTTACTTGATAACCAAAAGAAATTGAAAATTAGTGTGTACATATATGGTCTAAACTTCAATGATAAGAATGGCTAATAGAGTTTAAATCATGAGGAGTAATTATGCTTGGTGGACTATGTAATCAAAGGCAATAATAATGTATATAAAGCAATATTAAAATGAGTTATGGACTTAGGTATCTTTGGAAAGGGATAATGTACGTTATAAGACTTTTTAGTTTGTGTAATAAATTAATGCAACAAAGTGTGGGTAAAGGAATTCCGTAATGTGTTGAGATGACATACTAAACATATATACTACTATATGATTAATTTAATTATTTAAAATAATCATATATGACAGCAGTCAAAGACTGAGCTTCTATTGGTAGATTGTGTCAAGATCTATATGCACATTCAAAAGAAAAATAACAAATCTATCTGCACTATAGATATAGATATACCAACATCACACACCATTCTAGAAAACATTCTTTGTTTATATGCTTTTCCAAACACTAAAAAATTGCATAAATGCATTATCAAGAAATAAAAAAAAACAAACTTCGGAAAACCAAGAAATTTAAACATCAGCACATAGACATTAATTAGGGTTTTCCCCATAACTTATCTATAAAAAGATGAGAGTAGAGTAAGAAATGATGAACCTGGAGAAAACGCGGCCGCAGTCGCATGAATGACCGCGTGAACCGCAGGTTTTGAGATGGGCTTTGTAGTCAGATTGAACAGCGTAGCCCTTTGAGCATCTCTCGCAAACCCATTGCTTGTGGACGCTGTGCTTCCTGCGGAAGTGCTTTTTGATTCCGACCAGATCTCCTAGGGCGTGGCATGGGTCGTGGTGGAGACAAGTTGGCTCAGGACAAACGTAGACTCTCTTTCTCACCTCCTCATCTTTCTTCTCTCTCTTCAGAAGCTTCCATGGCACTTTATGCCTTCTTCTATGCATCTGGAGGTTCTGATCCCTCTGAAACCCTTGGTTGCAGATCTCACACACGTACTGATCTGACTCTAGCAATGTTCTTGGTGATAAAGATACAACCTCTGCATCTGGATCTGTTGCCACAGATATACAAGATATAAATCATTATATTGATATACACAAAAAAAAATTAAAAATCTTTAGCTGATTTAAAACCCTAATTAATCTCTAGTATTGTCCTATCAATAAATCATTTGGAATATATAAAAAAAGTTTTGGAAGTTTCAAATCTCAAAAATTAAAAGTTTACCTGAATTATTGAAAACCTAATAGTAGAAAATAAGTATTTTCAAGAAAATGAAGATGAATTATTAATAGAAAAACCTGGGGTCCCTGCTGGTCTCCGTTTTCTCTTATTAATCACGGCGGCTCCATTGATGGGAAGAAGAAGATCGGAGGAAGATGAAGAAGGAAAGTTATGATGCTTGTTTTTCTCGTAATCTGTCATCTAATGCAGTTTATAATAATCTCTTTTTATATTGTTTTCTCTTAAAGATGGTGGTGTTGGAAGAAGTGTACCATATTACTTTGTGACTACTGAAAAAAAGAAAAGAAAATCAAAGAATCTTTGTTTTTTTTTTCATGCGAAGAGTTTAAAGATTGTTTCTCTTTTTCATCTTTTATTTGGTGGATAGTGCTGTCTCAGCTTTATCTAATAGAAGAAAGATAGAGAGGAGTTATGAGGGAGAAACAAAAGTTTTTGCTTTCTGAAATCAACTTTTGTTTCAGCTCTCTTTTCCGAGGCCTGAAAGTTTCTTTTACCCCTTTTACTCTATCTTATTTTTCTAATTTTTATGAAAAAGTTTTTTTTTTTTTTTTTGTTAATATTTTCATTGACCTACCACCTTACCTGGAGAAGGCATTGTATGGTCTTTGATTGTTTTAATCTTCTTCTTTACATACACTCACTATCTTCTTTCTCTCTCTCTCATTATGTAAATGCATACACATACATGTGACCTAGAAGGAAACGGGGTTGAGACTTAGAGCCCACATAGATATTTGGAAAAGAATTAAAAGAAAATGCCATTTCACAACAAAACAAATCGAAGTCATTATTATTTCATATCTACTTGTCCACAAATTACTCTTTTAATTTGAAGAATTCAAGATGTGCCTGTAAATTGTTTTTCCCATTAAAAGATTTTGGTATCATGATACAATATAGATAGCATATACACCACATTGCTATAATTTAGTTCTTCTGAGATAGTACAAACTAGTGTTTCTTTTCCATAAAACATATTCATACGTTAGCAAAAAAATTCAGTGGATTGATGGCATAATAGTTGCTTATAACTGCCTTGATGATTTTAACAGATTATATCAATCTGTCATATTTAGGCAAATTTACAAAAGACATGACCAAATCTGGTGCGAATAGAACATACTCTTACGACATGTTTTGGAGATGTGCTATGATTTTTCTTCATTTTATATTCACTATAACCAAGCACAAGAGACGCAAATTAGGCTTTCGGTTAGGGTCTATAACTATTTGTAAGAAAGTACTACTTCCAATTAGTATTTATGATCCATTCTTAAAGTCTATGCTCTGGCCATAATTTTTTTCTTTTTTGATCGATAGCGATTTCTCATCTACGTTATTGCTTTCGTTACAATTAAAAACATTTCATATCAAACAAGTCATATATAAATGATTAACTTTCTATAACTAAATAAAAGACGTCAAAATATTCAAAATGCAATTTGGTAAAATGGCGATTCATTCTATAAATAATCTGCCAGGTAAAGTAGAGTGATAGGTCTTCTCCTTGAGATGTAGCCTTCTTTAAAATCTAAAGAGCTATCACAGCTTCTTCTTTTCTAGCAGGTATTTTGATGAGTAGCTTGGCTATAGCGCTGCATATTCTTCCATAAATGTCAAAGATCTCGATCATTTCCATATGGCTTCAAGGATAAGCGATCTTCTTCATGTCATCAGCCATCAGACGAATTTGGAGCAGCATATGGAGAAGAGATTGAAGCTTCTGAGTGCTCTCCAGCTCTTGGTTAACATTTTTGCTGTGGCTACTGGTTTGATCCGATACAAAGAAGGAGTACTGATCAAGAAACGAGAAATATTAAGCTCGGATAAAAGCGTTGAAGCCACAACTCTTGCTTGGTTTTGAATGACCATCGGAGAAGAGACGTGACTTTGCAGCAAAGGACCCCATGTAAGAGCATTAGGTATTTTTTTTCAAAATATGTCTCCAAAAAATAAAATTAAAATATGTATCCATTCAAATTGATTCAGAAAATAAGAAGGCTTTAGCATATAGTAGAAGCATATATGACTTCAAATTTACAATTACAAACCTCAAATGCTAAACTTCTGAAGATAGTAAACTTTCAAACTGATTCCAAAAACAAATATGTGTCCAACGTTAGTATGTTCATATATCATATATGACGATATTTACATACAAGTTCTGCAACTCACCTTACCGAAAGGTCCATCCATATAGTCGTTAGAATTTTTTTTCAAATAAAATATAAAAACTATGATATGTATATCTCATCGATTTTATAGAAAACATATATATTGATATTTTCCTTTTAAATTGTTTCGAGAACTCTTTAGTCTTTTTATACTATTAGAAAGGAAATGCTTTTAGAGGAAAAAAAAAAACTAAAAATTTTCTAAAATATATTTACAAGAATATTAGATTTGGGCTGCCTTTTTTTTTTTTGTCGACAAAAAAAAAAAAATTAGATTTGGGCTGCTTATCCAGGGTGAGTACGTGACAATATACAATCCACTACGAATCGACCCATTCTTTAGAGTTTAGACTTTGACCCAAAGAAAAAAAAATACAGAGTGTAGTTAATCAAAGGACTCACCTACTAATTAAACACGTGATCCATATTTCCATAAACGCATCGTTTCACCTGTCATTTCCCAACTCTCTCTCTCAGATCCTTCCCTATAAAAAACTCTCTTCCTACTGGAGCCAGAGAAAAAGAACGATCTTTGATTTTTTCAGACAATGGCGGCTACTACATTGAACAACTCTTCTTGTCTTCTCCAACACAAGTCCGGCTCCACCACTCTCCTAAACCCTTCTTCTCTCTTCAAACCCTGTCCGAATCCGACCAGTAAGTCTCTGCTGAATCTCTGTTTCAAAATGGCTTCGATTCGATTGATTATTATTAATTTCTTATTTATTTCTCGCATTAGGAGTTTCTGTGTTGGGGAGGAGTCGTAGATATGTAGTTACGAAAGCTTCGATTGGAATGGCGCATTCGAACTCCACACCTTCCGTTGTTGTCAACTCCTCTAACAAGCAGAAGGGTCCCATCATCGTGATTGATAATTACGACAGCTTTACTTACAATCTATGCCAGGTTTTGACTCTCGGAACTATTTCAAAATCTGCTCTTTATCATCTGAAAAAAATGAATTGAGTACAATTGGAGAATTTTTGTAGAAAAAGTTTTGGTTTTTTTTTTTTGCAAGCTCTTGACTTTATATGAATGTATTGTCTTTTCACAGTCCAGATTCTGTTTCGACATGCTAATAGACAAAAACTATGCAATCAGATTGTTGTATCTTATCGTTCTCTGGAGTAGTGTTTTTTTGTTTGTATGTAGAAAGCTCTCTTGTTCTTGTTCTTGTTCTTGATCCAGCAGAAGATAATACATCACTTCTTTGAAATTTAGATTGGTTACTCGTAGTTGTAATAACTCGCTGTCTCGTCTAATTTTTGCTCTGAATATCTCAGATAACGCATAGGGATTCCCTAATATACTGTTTCATCATGTCTTCACTTCAACGCATAATCGTGTGAGAGCTATCTTTTTTTTGTTTTTCCTAATAGTATATGGGAGAGCTAGGATGCCATTTTGAAGTTTACCGCAATGATGAACTTACAGTAGAGGAGTTGAAAAGGTGAGAAGACGAAATCAATATGCATTCTCTTTAAAAATGTAGTCTGGCTATTAGGGGTTTTGATTCCTTTATTATGATCTCTCTTTCTTTTTTGCAGTAAAAATCCAAGAGGGGTGCTGATTTCTCCTGGGCCTGGTAATTATATTGGCCTCCCACAGCGTGTTGTATCTTATAAGGATTCTTGTTGTGAAGGACAAGAAGGTAAATAATTTTGTTATTATTGATAGGTACCCCACAGGACTCTGGGATTTCCTTACAAACTGTTTTGGAACTCGGACCACGTGTTCCTTTGTTTGGAGTATGTATGGGTTTGCAGTGTATAGGGGAAGCATTTGGAGGTTAGTTTGCATTCAACATGGTTTCATACGTTTATGTAATGGATTATCAACTCTAAATGCACTTTTGTATGAACTTTGTTTTGTAGGAAAGATTGTAAGGTCACCATATGGTGTAATGCATGGGAAAAGCTCCATGGTTCACTATGATGAGAAAGGAGAAGAAGGCTTGTTCTCTGGTTTATCTAAGTAAGTATGAATCAGGTTTTCTCAATGAGTTTTGTTATATGTATCTGGCAAAACCTTGTGCTAAAACAAATCTTGTTGGTTCTTTTTTTTCAGCCCTTTTCTTGTAGGTAGATATCACAGCCTCGTGATTGAAAAAGATACGTTTCCCAGTGATGAACTCGAGGTTACTGCATGGACAGAAGATGGTTTGGTTATGGCGGCTCGACACAGGAAGTACAAGCATATACAGGTTTAAAAAAAAACTCACTCAAGTGGTTTCATGTCTCTTGCTTCCATTAAAAACAGAGGTCTTAAAAAGTTTTGTTAAAATTGGTTCGCAGGGAGTCCAGTTTCATCCGGAGAGTATTATAACAACTGAAGGCAAGACTATTGTCCGCAATTTCATCAAACTTGTAGAGAAAAAGGAGGCTGAGAAATTGACTTAGGCTTTCCTCAATTCAGACAAAGCAGTTGTGTAATAAAGATTGTCAATGCAAAACGTTCCTTGTCATCTTCCCATTGTTTCTATCAATTAAAAAAGTCAGTTACATGCATTTCAGTTTTATTCGGATACTGTTTTCGTTTTGTTTGGTTTATTCGATATCCTTCCTCTACCTCATTATCAGCTTTTGAAACTTAGTCCACTGAGATACTGTTAAACTAAGTAACAAGCATATGCAGTCTTAATGGATATTGTTCAAAGGTAATTTATACCGACACTAATATGTTCAGACGGTTTCTGAATAACAAGATAACAATCAACTTATCTTGACAGCCAAATCAGATCAACAGAACATTTTTCCATGTCAATAAGAGAAACCAGTCACATAAAAGATAGGTTATATTTTCAGTAGATCAGATCAGATCAGTTTCTTTCTGCATTCAAGAGCAGGAAAAATTCAACACAGACAGGGAACACAAGTACAACAATCACAACAAGATGAGACGAACCTCCATTCTTGAACTCTAATCATCTGAATATTCCAATATTAGTGAAAACTAATTCATCCAAAATAAAACTCGACTTGGGCAAAACAAAATTCACTTATTGGTAGAGTCTTTGGGTAACGGAACAATACAAAAGGAGGATCAAGTCTTCTGCGGGATGTGGTTGGCAACGAGCACACTCTCCTCAGTCAATGGTAAGATGACGTGCCAACTCAGTGTGCAGTGTATGACCCGCCTGCATTTGATAAAGATATAAAACCCATTATATCAGAAAACTGTTCTCTCTTTTGATGTCAAGAAAACTAGAGAGAACTTGCCTTAAACGCAACGACGTGAGCCACAGGGAATCCTCCATTTCCGACTCGTGCTAAAAGGGAGAGGTCACCGATAAGGTCCAAGATCTTATGTCGACATGCTTCATTATCAAACCGCAGAGGAGGGTTCATCCATCCATGCTCCGCGCTGCATTAGAGACGGTTTCATTTGAATATATTTTTTCTTATTACCATAATATCATCCAGTGCCTTGAACATGAAAGTTTCTTTACCTACAAACGATTGCATTATCCAGAGAACCTCCTTTAATGAGCCCTGCTTCACGCATTCTCTCCACCTGCAAAGCAAAGACACATGGTTAAAGAAAGAACACCAGTTGCTGATTCTGAAGCTCATAAACAATGAAGAAACCAACCTCTTCATACACACAAAACGTTCTAGACGGTGCTATATCTTTTACATAGGAAGAGTCATGTTCAGGTTTCCAAGAAAACCACTGGCATCCTATTGCAGGCACCTGTAGAGAGTTTCATGATACAACCACAGGACCAGAGTCAATACCCATCTATGCACAAACAATAAAGAAGTTTGTGCAATAAAGACTGAACCTGTGGGAAGTCGATACCACAAGTGATGCGAGTCTCTACATCAGGGAACACAGCTACAAAAGAATCGTTCTTGCAAACGTACACAGGCTTGTTCACATGTGCTACCATCTTCTCCACACTTTCTCCATCATGGTTTTGAGCTACGTTTATGCCAGCTTCTTCTATCGCATCGACCCATTCTTTAGCTGATCCATCAAAAATAGGGACCTGTCACTTGGTTAGTGCTGCAAATATTCATTACACCAACAGACCACAGCTCTGAAACAGATAAAATTCACTAGAAAATCTACACACCAGTTGAACCATTTGCCATATATTTTTTTTTTTGAAACACGAACCATTTGCCATTTATTCAGCAAATTGTTAGGTATGGATGTTTGGATAACCGTTCGGGTGGATTATGATTTTGGGTTTCAGATTCAACTTCCTAAGCCACATTTGGGTTTTTAATATATGTATAATAGTTTGGAGATTTTATAACTATCTAAGATCCATTTTGGATCCGACTCAATAGGGATTCATATGTTGTTACAGTCGGATCAAAATAAACATGAAATTGAGTATTTGAGATATTTATTTAGGTTTTAAATACTCGGATATCCATTCAAATTCGGATTTAAAGACTCCATTCAGTTATCAATGTTTGAGTTTATATAAACAAACCTCATTTAAATAAATATGAAATTGAGTATTTAAGGTACTAATTAAGGTTTCAAATACTCATTTAACGGATATCCATTCGAATTCGACCGATAATTCTGGGTTTTTCAGTTTGGATCGGGTTTAGAAATGTCCAAGCCTGTAACTATCATTGAGTTTATATTAGCCACTAGAAACAACAATTAGTAATTAGTTGAATTGGAACTTTCACTAGAAAAGCTACACACCAATCATTTCCCACTGATTTCACCAAATGATACTATATATATATGTTAGAGATTATTATGCAAACAAACCTCGACTTCCCGATCATCTGGACTCTCACTCTCGATTTGAATTTTACAATTATCAACTCCCTTAGCCTCAAGAGCTGATAACAAATGCTCAACGGTTCTAATCCGCAGACCGTCTCTCAACAGCGTTGTGCACAGAGGCGACTCCTGAGCAAACTCAATCGACGCGGGGATGGATCTGGAACGAAACTCGAAGTACCTCCCAGCTCCGGCGATCGCCGGAAGCAGCTTCACCGTCGAAACCTTACCGGAATGCAGAGCTTTACCGTTTACTTCCACAGGTGCCTCGAGAGTTTGTTGTAACCGCCCGCTCTAGTAATGGAAAAACAAAAAATCATAATGGATAGGGATCATCAAGTGGTATGGATAGAGAGAGAGAGAGAGAGAGAGAGAGAGAGAGAGAGAGAGAGAGAGAGAGAGAGAGAGAGGTGTGTGTACTGGTTTCAAGGAGATTGTTGATGACGTGGCGGAAGAGAAGGAGGATAGTCGCATCAAAGAGATGAGAGTTGACTTCTTGGCTTTGACGGCGACGGAGAGGCTCATTGATTCGGACGGACGGGAGCAAACCCCTCCGATCGATTTAGTTTGCTTTTGCGCGTCAACCGTTTAAAAGTTGACCTAAACGGATTATTGGTTTTGGTTTAATGTATAAACCGGGTTTTGGAGTAAGCTTCTAAACCGGGATCAATAAGGAAAAAATAAAATAAACCGGCTCTGATTTATAATCGTAAGGTGTAATCGAATGTTTGAACTGGTTAGTGGTATGGTTTGATTTGTGCATGATCAGTGGATTTGGAATTAATGTTTGTAGCTCGGTCCAGCCCAAGAATAATTAAGATTAGAGTTATAGGTTATGTTGTCTACCAACAGTCTTGATTGATTATATCTTATGTTTTAGGAAGAAAACAAAATGCATAGGCAGAAAGTTGCTGAAGTGGAAAAGGTGACTCAGACAGTAAAAGAGCTGGAAGAGGCTGTTCTTGCAGGTGGTGCTGCTGCTGCAAATGCCGTGAGGGATTACCAACGGAAATTCCGAGATATGAATGTAAACTTACCACACTTCACAAGACTGTCATAAAAGGAGACACATAAATTCTTTTGTTTTCTTGTCAAAGCAAATCAATTCTTGTTTGTGTCTTTCAGGCAGAGAGGAAAACTCTTGACAGGGAGCTTGCACGTGCAAAGGTTACAGCAAACAGAGTTGCCACGGTGGTAGCAAATGAGTGGAAAGATGGTAATGATAAAGTGATGCCTGTGAAGCAATCAATGGCTTGAAGAAAGAAGGTTTCTACATGTTTAAATTTATATTTGATGTGGCCCTTCTCCTAGATCCTTTTAGTGAGCAAGGTACATCCATATTAACATTCTATAACTCTTTTCAGGGAGAAATGCAGCAACTTCGCGATAAGCTTGCCATAACAGACCGAGCTTGCTAAATCCGAAGCACAGTTAAAAGTAATGATTCTTAGAGCATGTGCAATGGGGAATCCTTAGAGGAGTCCTTAGGAAAAAAATAAAAAGGGGTATTCCAGATTATATAAGGATATTTCAGATTTTTTCTTTAAAAAAATTAAACTGACCACTCACGTACCGCCACGTGTGCAGTGGAGCCCATGAATAGTGTAAGGATCAATCCTTACATAAGGATTTTTAGAATAAAATCCTTAACTATTCATGGGACCCAGTGATTATAAAATTAATATTTTTCTAAGGATTTCTCCTAAGGATTCCCCATTGCACATGGTCTTATGCTATTAGTCAGCTTCTCTTAGTTGATCTTCTTACACAAGACAAGAAGTAAAACATTTGTCTTGTGCTATTACAGGAAAAATTTCAAATGCGGCTTAAAGTGCTTGAGGAGACACTTCGAGGAACTTCAAGCAGCAGCACCAGGACCAGGACCATGAGTAATGGACCCTCTCGTAGGCAGTCACTTGGTGGATCTGAAAACTTGCAAAATTTTCCATCAAACGGTGCTTTGTCAAAGAAAGCTCCAGCTTCACATATAAGACATTCCTAGTCTACTAACTCAACTTCTGTGTTGAAGAATGCTAAAGGAACATCTAAGTCATTTGATGGAGGCACAAGATCCTTGGACAGGGGCAAAGCACTCTTGAACGGACCTGGGAACTATTCTTTCAAGAAAGTTTCTGATGACTCTAAGGAACCAGAGTCAGTTAATGGGTGGAAAGACAGTTCAGAAGAGAAGACACAAAGTGAAAACACTCCACCAGCAGCAAGTGAGGATAGTGTCTTAGGTGTTTTGTATGATTTGCTGCAGAAAGAAGTAGTTTCTTTGAGGAAAGCTTCTCATGAAAAGGACCAAAGTCTCAAAGACAAGGATGATGCCATTGAGGTAGAAACTCTACATTACTTATATTATTAGTTGTAAACGAAAGGAAGTATGATAATTTGATGTTTTGTAGATGCTAGCGAAGAAGGTGGAGACATTAACTAAGGCAATGGAAATTGAAGCAAAGAAAATGAGAAGGGAAGTAGCTGCAATGGAGAAAGAAGTTGTTGCAATGCGTGTGGAGAAAGATCAAGATAATAGAGAAAGGTATATCTATCTAGTTTTTCACTTTGTATAGTTAAGAGTGATTGATTGATAGATAGTTTGGTTAGTAAAACTGAACATGGAGTTTGGATATGCGCAGAGCTACTGGAAGAAGCGGATAAACCAAGAGTACACAGTGAGATGAGACTCCAGACATAACAAGTAAAAGGATCTTATAGGCTCTTGTTATTAAGCTGATTAACTTTTACATCTTCTTCTTTCACTTGCTTTTAGTGTGTGTATATTACCACATGTAATTTATTGTATCACAATATATCTTAGCATAGCTGATAATCCCATCCTCTTAATTATATAACCCAGTAAAGAGAGAAGAGTTTTAACTGGTTACTTTCTGCTTATACATTCTTGTGATCAGCATGCATTTCATGAAATAGTAACAAATCTTTATTCTTTAGCATAATCCAACACACACAAACTCAACACGGAATGAGCAAGAACTTGATTAAAGAAACAAGAGAGCATTAAAGATTCTTAAAAACTTGATTTAAATAAAAACCAAGAACATTTGATAAAGTCTATTTCAATCACATCAGGCGTCTGCAGAGAGTGACACCATCACCAATGGAGACTTGAGAGACCTCGATGCGAGGATCAGAAGCGAGCTGCTTGTTCAACTCCATGAGGGCTTTTCTGTTCACCCTCATGTGCACTGGCACACTCTCCTCTTCCTCAGCCACAAACCCAAACCACAATGTGTTATCAAAAGCTATTATTCCACCTACCTTCACTAGCTTCATTAGTCTCTCGTATGCATTAGCATAGTTTGGTTTATCAGCGTCAATAAATGCGAAATCAAACTCCGGTTTTGGATTCTCCTGTTGTCCACCAGACCAATGTCATATAAGAAAATTTAACAAAAGATCAAAATAATTGCTAAAGTAAATATAACAAAACATGACTAAGAGATTACATACTGCCAACATGTTGTCTAAGGCCTGAAGACCATCGGATTCGATGAAGTTGATTTTGTGATCAACACCAGCATTCTTGATGAACTCTAAACCAAACTCGTAAAACTCTTTATCAATGTCTATTGCAGTAATCTGTATATATCCAAAGTGTTCATAAATGTTAGTAGTTCTAATCATTTTTGCTTCTTAGATTTTTACTTTTTTGGAAATTAAGGATAAATGTTTTGCATGCATATACATGGCCATCTTCAGGGAGTGCAAGGGCCGTCGCGAGCAACGAATAGCCCGTGAAAACACCGAGTTCTAACGTCTTCTTGGCGTTCATCATCTTTAAAAGCATCGATAGAAAGTGTCCCTCATCAACCGGTACCTCCATCTCGCTTCTACACACATAATAAGCACATATATACTTTTTGTTTGTTAGTAAAATCTTTGTTAGTATTTCCAACAAATTATTTTATTTAGTTTGAACACAAATGGTAAGCGCTTTAAAAAATTGTAAGCGCTTACTCTTGAAAAAAGTATTTATTTATTTATTTTTATTTTTTTTGGTAAAAAAAATGTTTTATGTTGAAAAATAAAAGGGTGAATTTGCTCAATATACCAAAATAATAAACTATTTAGGGATTTACCATATTTTGAGAGAGAAAAGCTACATGTAAAAATCAATGTTAAGAATCTTAACGTTACAAAACTTGACACTGTTAGAAAGAATTGGAGTATTATACCATATAGATTATAAATTCACAAGAAACTAGATCAAAGTGAATAATGGTTACTGGAAGATGGACAATGGAGTTTGTAGGCAGACTTACAAATTGCCAAACTTCTCGACCGTAGCTTCTCTTAGTTTCTTGAGTTCTTCATGCTCTCTTGGATATGCAGTTGTTTCCAAGATGTACTGTCTCACATATCACAAGTTTTAGTTCACAACAGCAACCGTATATGTTATATATGTGTTGGTTTGGATCTAGCATTCACTAATCAGACATGATTAAAGTTCAGTTTTGCAGATCAAGTAATAATTTTCAGGGATGTCACTTATTTTAGTATTACTCTTGCCAAACACAGAATTATGATGGAATCTGGTGTATTAGTGATGGTATCATTACATCTAAAAACAATTGAAAAAAACTAAACAACGAATTAGAAGAAACGTCTAGTGATTGATTAACATACCTTTTTGAGTTCTTCACTCTTGAGAATGCCTTTGGTCGGAATCAAAAACTCCATATCTCGCTCCATCTTGTGATGCCTTCAACTTCAAAAAAAGCTTTGCAATACTTATGGACATATAACTATATTACTTTCCCTTTCTTTCGTCTTTCTTTAGTAATATCATAATCTATGGCTTTACCTTTTATAGTATATCTTCATTACTTTATTTAATGAGAATCGCAAAAGCTGAAGGAGTTGGTGGCATGGCATAATCGAAAGATATCATTAGCTTTGCAGTTGGCATCACGTTTACATCTAGATAAGATTAGACATTCAAAGTGATAGCTTTTGGTAACAGCGATAAAGAACTTAACGTTTATGTGCTACTTTTAATAAAACGACTCGGATAAGCTAGAAAGAATGGTGCATTGTGTCGTTATAGAAAGTAGACGTTACATGATGGCTGGCGGTAATGAGTTGCATGGCCATTTCAAGCATTTTTTTCTCTTGTTGTTTGGGAATTTTAGTGTATAGATTTGTACTTCTAAAAACAATTATACATACTTATTTCTTGTACCTTTTTGATTGTTTTTTATGAAATTTCTATACGGATATTTATTATGATTTGGAATTTTAGTGTATAGATTTGTACTTCTAAAAACAATTATACAGATTTTTTCTCGCTATTTTTTTCATTGGTTTTATGAAATTTCTAGAAAGATATTTATTGTGATTTGGAATTTTAGCGTATAGATTTGTACTCTAAAAAAATTATTCATATTTTTATTGTGATTTACAATTCTCACTGGTATAATATCACTATCGTGAAAGCTTTACTATTGCAATTTTCTGATCGCTGTATCCTTTATTGACTGTACAAACTATTATTTCAGATTATCAATCAGCTTCCACACTCAAACTAATGACCAACAAAAAGTTAACTACCATTAACATATTTTCAAATAGATGTTTGTTAAATATATACAGTCGAAATCACTTGTTTTTTCTTCAGTGTCCATTCTCCTTTTCGATCGGGCGAACCGTTTTTTCACATTGAATACATCTAATGAATGCTGCGTCATAGTGGGATGGCATCCTGCTTAATTTGGCTATCTCATGTGACCAACAATTTAGTTCTTTTTTCTGTAGCTCTATTACAAGATTGGTAGGTCTGCATTTATAAAATATGAGAAGTACACAAACACACACACTTTATTATCCATTATCATTACCAACAAATACTTAATTTGGCTGACTACTCTAAGAAAGCTGGTTCTGTTTGTACATCTTCTTCTCATATTCAAATCCAAGTTATTTCTCATTTGGTAGATATTCATCTTGATCAGGTTCAGGCCCGGTCCTGAAAATATTTGGGCCGGAAGCATTAGAAAAATATGGGCCTATTAATTAAATAAATAATAGTTCTAAAAAGTTAATTTTGTTACTAATCATGGTCGAACCGACAATCTCTCAACGTACCAACAACAATATTAACCAACTGACCTACTAAACATTTTGAAAAAATTGGCCAAAAAATTTAGATATTTTAAAAAGGCCGGAAGCACATGCTTCTAATGCTTCTACCCAGGGCCGCTACTGATCAGGTTTGCTTTATTATTTTCTTCCTTCTCCGTTTTGCTTGTTCTTTAAGTTTATAAAACCAAATTTCCAGTGGTCAAGTTTTCATTAAGTAAAAGTAAGAAGATGGATAGAGATAAAGAAACATGTTCTCAAATGAGAGAACTCACAAATACTGTTTTCAAAACCCCAAGAAAGTATTAAACACACCTCAGTTTCAAATAGTTTAAATTTTAAAAATAAAAGATATTTATTTATTTAATAAAAACATGTCAAATAATTTTATAGTTGGAAAAAAACTCATTTTGAACATCTTAACAAAAATAAAAAAAGGAAATGATGAATCTACTTTCTTTCAAAACAAGAGTTCTTTATCAGGGAAGAAAATAATGGGCTGGTATTGAAAGACCCAATAACTAAATAACAAAAGCCCACTAAAGGGGAGATGACCCAAAAATTGAGCTAGGGTTTACTCGCCTCCTCATTCTAGTGGCATATAAATTAGGTCGTGAACCTACTAACACACACAAAAAACACCTTTGTCGCTTGCTTAAGCTCTATCTTCTTTTATTTCACTTTCATTGGTTTATTTTTTACGTTTTGAAGTTTTTTTTTTTTGTTTTGTGAAGAATACATACGTAGTAATTGCCTTCGATGATGATCAAAACATAACTTTCGTTCTTCCGAGATTAATCATGCGGAAACCATATGGAGACCTGAACTGAGTGAAGGCAATTACTACATATTATTAATTCGATTATTGTTTTGTGTTATTTTGAAAGGTAGCTTTTTGGGTTTGCTCTTATGATGTCAAAACTTTGAACTTTCGTTCTCCTGAGATTTCAACGTGCTGAAATAAATTGGAGACCTGAACTGAAAGAGTTTCGAAACCAAATGCTGTTTTTTCTTATGTTTTACTAAAGTATACACTGCAGCCACATGTATTTTAAGGAAATACAGTTCGAAAGATTTTATAATTTTATGAAAATGTAAATTCCTAAGGCCAATTAATAGTGCGTCCTTGCTTAACGAGATTGAAAAGAACGTTTTGGACATATTACCTGACCATTGAACAATTTAAAAGCAATACTTTGGACTCATATTCTCACATTATAAACCGTCTACATAAAATTTGGACTCATAAAGAACCAGAAAATATTATGATGGATCTATCACTAACTTTACTCAAAATATAAATAGTCTATCTGGATCAAAAATTAATGCTTAACTAGTAAATATTAGACTCTGCTGTAACCAGAAGAGTTTCCAAAGCATGGACTCTCAGCCTCGAGAATATTTCGAGCCATTATACATTAGATAGAATATTTGGAATAGTAAAAGCATTTCCAGCTATTGCATTTTTTTAGTGTTCCAAAAATTGCTATTTTCTCTATTAAATAAAGGAGCATCCCTAAAATACATTAGGGATGATTGTCAAAGACACATACTGATTC